ATTTTACWWAAATTTTCGGATATTTTAGCAGCTACTATCTCTTTTGCGTTTCAAGTTAATTGTTAAAATCACGGCCATTTAATTTTAAAAAAGATGAAGTAAAAAAAGCGGAGGTATTTGTACATACTACTCTTTCCAACTATTTTTCCAATAGGTAAATCAATATTCTTAACCACTTCTATATTTTTCAATAGTTAAATCAAGAGTTTTAACCACTACTACCATTTTTCAATAGTTAAGTCGAAATTTGTAACTACTATTACATTTTTTAACTGTTAATTCGATATTTTATGGTCCACTTACACAGCCTACCAAGGCTTTCACTTACACAGCCTACAAAAAGAAGGTTTAATTGCTATTATAATGAAACGTTGCAAAGTTTAAGTGTAAACTGCTTTATGTGGCTAGCTTAATCACACAAAATTATTAACACCAAAAATTAACAGCAAAATCCAGATTAAGTACGATTTTAATAAGAAATTTCGCGGTTTAGGCCTAAAAGATGTGCTGTAGCCTGTATTAATTTCAAGGTACTGCTTGTTCCACTTTTGAAGTTATTAATTGCTTCACAGCGAATAAACTTATTTTTATTAAACTCAGTTTATACTTTTGCTTCAACTTCTTGCAAAATTATTTGCTTCAACCATAGCGACCGAGTCATTGGAATCCTTTGCAAATTTTCGCGCATTTTGTCATCAACTCTCCTTTGAAGCCCAAAATTTCAAGTTGCGACTTGTTCGAATTTAGAAAATAGGAATTTTAAAATTAAAGCGTGTATTTGTGCATAACGACGGATAAAGACTCGTACTTATAGAGTTCATCAAAATGAGGATTAACGGCGATTCATAACGAAAATTTACACGTTTTAACTACAACGTACCAGCTTTAGACAACGTTAATTTCCATGTTTTGAAATTCCATTTTTGAAAATATAATGTTTTTGAAAGCGAACACATTAACTTGTTGTCCGTAAATTATAAATTTGGCGCAATTTTACTGAATTTTTCGGACGATTCAGCACCGATTGTCTTTCTCATACAATGTAAATTTAAAGTTTGTAAAGTGTTGGGAAACGTGAACTTGTGACAAAATAAGCAAAAACTGCGATTTTAATGAATCTATCTGCTGTTGTAAACATCAGATGTCTGTCTTCAGGCGTAAAAATTTCAAGAACTGCCCTAGTTTGGTAGCTACATTTTTATGAAAGAAAGCGTTTAAATCATGGAAGGTGCTCCTACAGATTGTACTTGTTCATTCGTAATCTATATGCTGGGTTGCAACTACTGCACATGGTTAGATATTCGGCTACTTATGTGGTCGCAAAACTTGGCAAAATGCCCAACAAACCCTATATACCCTAAGTGTATTACTATTGAAAAAGTTTAGTTCAACTTGAATAGATTCATAGTTCAGCCTTTTTTTCTGGCAAACCTCTGTCTTTTTAGCTGCTCTTTTAATGCAATACTAGCATGATTTTCATCACTTTGAAAACGTTTTCTTCATTATTTTTGCCGTCTTAACAAGTTAGAGCTTCTCAAGATATTTCTGGCCTGAATTATATAATTCCTCAATTATTCGCACAGCAAATAATTGCGTTTAATTTACGTGACACGTATTTAAAATATTTTTGTTGGAAATGTGAAGGTATTTTTCTTTGCGCTTCGCAAGCGCAAATGACTTGAGTCCTAAATCAATTTTTTGAAATAAATTGCAGCAGTGATACGAGCTACTAACTAAACAACTCTGAGGACCTGGCTTAAGATCAGAAAGAAATTCTAACTTCAAATTTTGTTTTCTAATGCAATGAAGAAAAATATGGAAACTACCTTCATTCAAATAATTTGTTCAGCCGCACCAACATATTTGTATCAATTTGTGTTTTCAGAATCGGCATTTATGATTGATATACATTTATGTATATTTTGTCATCGGTATTAGAATAATTAAGTTTAAAAATGCACTTTGACATATAATTATAAAGTGAGAGTCATATACAGCCAAATTATGACAACTAAGATGTAGTTAATGTTTGTGTAAGGCCGCCTATTCCGAGCACGATATCATTTAAAGCATACATGAGCGGGCACTTAAAACGTCGCAACATATAATCTATTGCGTATGATATGTCATGCGAAAGAAACAAAACCGGGAAAGTAATATATTCATTCCGAAAGTCATATTTCGGGTGTTGCGAGTGCCGTGGCTCAAAAACAGGAGTTGCGCCCGAAGCATATCACGAGATGCGAGAGAAATCTGACGAGATGTCTGTTAATGTTTCCCTCGGTGGTCGTTTTGCGGTGCTCTTATCATCTACTAAGCCACTGATTGCTTCATTTCAGACAATTGCCTGTTTATATTTAGAAGGCCGCAACCGCCATACTTATGTACCGATAACGCGGTCGCTTTACTTTTCCTCTTCGGACGTGCTATTGTAGCAGCTTCCCTACTTTGTGACAATGGCCGGGAATGCACACGAAATGACCGTTTTAAGTTTAATGAACCACATCGTATGGTAAACTAGTGATTCAACAACTGAAATAATAGAAGTGCTAGTTAATTTGAAACGCTCGGTTTTATTTCTTTTGATAGTTATTCTTTATTAAAACAGTGACTAAACCAACTGTTTCAACCAATATTGCTTTTATTCTTTCTTTAGAAGTTACTGTTTTCATTTATATTACGTTGATTGAAATTATTGAACATATCAGCACTAACTTATCCAAGTCTTGATATAAGTTATCCCACCATTTAAGTTCGGCATCAGTTTTTCCTGGAAAGCACAATTTATGCCACCGGTTCAAAACAATATCCGTGTCATCGGAAAAAAGTGTCTTTATGTAACCGCTAGTTAAATTTACATAGTATGTATTAGTAAGCGATGATATTTTGTATGATGTCTTCATAGTAGGCCGTTAAATTTTTCTTTACGGAAGCAGATGTTTTGGACCAAACAAATAATTTTCATCCAAAAATTACAATAATCCAAATTATTGTAACCGACAGGAAGAAGTCGGTAGAGAAGAAATGTCATTTTCACCAACGACTTCTTTGAAAGATCATTTACGAAACTATCGATCGAATAAAGTTATGCTGTGTAGTTCAGACAATTCACTACGCTCTTGCGGATGATTCAAAAGTTGCGTAATTCCTCTGGGGGTGTTTAGGGAGGAGTTAGAAAAATAGTTAAAACCATTTAAAAAACTATAACTGAAATCAGGAAGAAATTAATTGTGAAAAATATCGACAAGTTAATAATAATAAGATTACTATTTATTTACTATATATATAAATAATCTTTATTTCCTACAGAAAAAGGCTATCGACCCAATCGGTCTTTCTGCCCTTGTTTAGTATATATGTGTCTTAGCCTAGC